ATCTAAAGATTGAATGCTGCGGTCAAACTATTAGCACAAACACAAGTTGTGCCCTATTGCACATTCTATCATCTAATGTACATTAAATCATGGAAGAAAGGGTCCATTACACAGTGTTGAGTGGAAACACATGTATTGACATTGCCGTGTTGTTGTTTGTTACTATAGTGATACAAAGGTCAATTCATTTAACAATCGTATTCCCTTCATTGTATAAAAAGACTGCATGCCAAAGTTTCTTTTCAATTCATTGGCATGATTGATAACTGAAATGTATGGCCTTCTATTAAAGGATGATTCAAGTTTCTGAAGAGCCATAGCGACAAGATAATGGACATGAAAGTAGAATCTACCAGAAGTAAAAGGCAAGTATGAAAGCAACAACAAATCTAACTATTTAATTGAATGATCATGCTTAGGATTCCCTCCTTAGTTTTTTCTCCCCTGTTTTTTTTTTAATTTGGAAGTTGGACTTGTTGGGTGTTGGGGTGTTTGTTTGTTTGTGTTTGTTTAAAACTTCTCCCAGAAAAAAAGCAACAAAGGTTTTTTGAAATTTGGAACTTACCTTTAAACTCATAACAATTTAAGTAAGATTTGAGGCTTTGCATGGTGGAGATGAATGAAAGGTTTGTGGAAACACCATGCAGGAATAAATTTCTCAAACTAAAGAGAATGGTTCTAAAAAGAACCAGAGGTATTTAAGCTTGACGTCCGGTCAGTATGCTCTGACCGCCTTCATAACAATTGGATTGACAAAACCCTTCCCTCACCCTGCTTTCATAGGAAAATGTAGTGAACTTAAAGTAAAGGCCACAAACCATTTTTTTTATTAAAAATGGGGATTCTAAACATTTTCATTGATTTATTTGATAATGGTATGTATATATGTGAAAGTCCATCACACATATTTTGTGATTAATTGAATGAGAGAATAAATGTGTGCTTAGCCAGTTTTAAATATATCTTTTGGTAAAAAGTCCAAAAAACAAAATTATAAATTTCCAATGATTCTCTCTATACAAAATGTAGATTTAGATTGATGTAAATTTTCCTTAAAAGTTGCAAAGCCTGATTTCATCATATCATGTTCTCCAGCTTGCATGAAGGACCATCAATCAAACTTTCTTTCTATAAGTTTCACAAAGATCAGTGCCGTCGTTTTGAAATGAGAAGCATTGTTTTGAAATACATATGCCCAGGGACAACTGTATTCATAACTTTTGGTATTTTTCATGATATCCACACCGTCTCGACTGTATCAATCAAGCAATGCATGCACGTTTAAAGTGTCTTTAATTTAAAGTGGTTCCTATCCATTACGCTGTGCAGTAAACAATTGCATAAAAGCCTCCTTCACGAGTTGTTAATTAACAAATATAATCCTTTTTGCCGGCTCCCATTGGTCGATATCAAGACCCACGCCATGTCATGCTGAGTGACGCTAATGAGTATGCTAATGTGCCCGTCATCATTGTGTGCCGGGCTGAAATCAGTCAGCCGTAGGCGCTTTGCTAACCAATGCACATGGTTGGGTCGGCAAACAATTGTTTTGATCGTCTTCAAAATTTTCCTTATAGATGGTTCAAAGTGATCACTAGCGTCCGCAACAACAGATTAAGCTGAAATTCGGAATATACTTATATGATATAAGTGTTCAACTACTCCTGAAATATCAACTTCGGTAAATCCCTAGAAATTGGGATAAATTCATACATTTGGGGAAGTTTTCGAACGATTTCTTCCAGACTTAAAGGTCAGCTTTGACAGTAACCAGTATTGATGTTTCGGCATCGATGACGGCTTTTTTTTTTCACTGACATGAAGTTTAGAATTTCTTCTTCAGTAATGTAGTAACATTTCAATCATACCGAGCATATTTTCTGAGAAACACAACTTTCAAAAGGCCATTTCTTGGGGGTTCACGAATTTCGATGCTCTGTTACAGCGTCTTAGTACGTAATCAGATTAGTTTTCCCTTGACAACGACCGCCGCCTTGCCATAGCAACCATATGGCTGTATAATCGAAACAAGAACTTACCCTGGACTGCCACCCTCCCCCCTCCATCCATGAAAAAACTCTGGCATATTCACGCATGTACCCGGTATATCACAATGATTATTGTTTGCCGGTTGTTGTCTTGTTCCTTTCTGTGTATTTATCAGGAATTTCATTTCTACACAGGTGGAAAGTGCTATAGAAGAACTTCATCCCTACTAAGTGATAATCTAAATTCTAATCTTGGAGACAATTAACCTTCTGATAACCATTACATGTAGACCTGTCTCATTGGCATGATTGGGGATGAAATTCTTCTACAGCACTTACCACCTGTGTAAAAATGAAATTCCTGATATATTTCAGTGTTTGCTTTCATTGTGTTTAGGAGAGGAAGCAGTTTGCAAAACAGTCCCTGTGATATTGACCAAGCAACAGACTCATCAGATGTATCCCAATCTGGTTCAGGCCTTCTGTCTAGAAGACCCAAACAATCCAGGCATATGGTACGGTATGATAGGACTCTGCCAATCACTCCCTCCATTCATAAATACAGCAAGTCAAGAAAAAGGAGCCTCATGGCTTTGTCACAGTACCAATTTATCATGCACAGCTTGAAAAAAATACAAAATGAGGACAAGTATTAAATATTTGACATGTTTAGTCCAAACCAGATGCTTCTGGGCTAGAGCTTGAAATGGAGAAACAACCAAAAAAGCATGTGGAGTGCTTTTCAGATTTTGTTTGGAAATTGACAAACTCAACATTTAAAAAAAAAGTAATTTTGCCCCAAAGGGGATTGTTTGATTGATTTGAAGATGTGCATCAGCAAGAAATATATTTCTCTCACCTAATTCAACTACAGAGTTGCTGCAATTACTGAGTTTCAGTTAGCAGAATGTTGGCAAGCGAAAGTTATTTTCAAACATTAATCTGTCATTGTAAAGGGACAGATCTGTGTTTTCATATTTGAAATACACTGACTGTATATTGTACAAGTTGCCAAAAGGTGTTTTGACAGAACACAAATGTTCCATAGACTACATGCCTTGAAATATTGTTGACAAAAGTGTTGCATTGATGACATGTACATGTATTTAGTGTTAACCTTTTTTACTATTTCAGGCATCATCACCAGGCAGAGCCCATCATCAGAGCCCATCATCAGAGAGCCCATACAGCACCACAGCATCAAGAGGGTAGACTCAGCTCCAGCAGTTCAAGTTCATCACTTACAATTGACAGTGGAGAGGAAAGTAACCAATCTTCTGGCTCATCTTATCAAGGTCAGAAAACACAACACATTATATAAGTAGGGCTCATGCACAACAGGGGCGGCGGAACCGGGGGGGGGGGGGGGGGGGGGGGGGGGATTTACCAAATTGCCCCTCTGGGGAAGTTAAAGTGCCCTCTCAAGATGAAAACAAAACTGGCCCTATAACTTTAGATAATTGCATTCAGTAACCATTTCCCAAAATGGTATAGAGAGTTTTGATTTGAACGAGGAATATGAAAACCAAGCCCCCAAACCCTAACATAATGAATGCGTAGTTTGCATATTGGCCGGTGTGAAGAACACCCCCTATTTTGGAAGATGGTACCAGCCCCCCCCCCCCCATTTTTTTATAGCATTCCTCGTAATTTGGAAATATAGTTCAATCATGTAACAAACTTATTTCCCATTTTGATTGTGATTGACGTTTGAAACTTCTTATTTTAACTCCGAGTACAAAAAACTTTGCGCGCACAACAGCGTTACATGTATGTTTATAGGCCATGCAAGTCGGTACAGACCGGTCCATGCACTCAAGTATCACGGCAACAATCTTCTGCCCTGTGGACTGTATTTAACTCTGTCTCGACGGTAGTATCGCATTGCAGATTTCAAGAAACCATACATGAGTTGGAAACTTATAAAAAAGTGCATTCAACCATCCTAGTTCCATGATTATCGGTCAATGCATTGCGAAGTTGCAATTCTTTTCATATTTCCAATATTTTTTTTCTTTACGAAATAAATTGATATCATTTCAACACCATTCTACACAAGAAACAATCAAATCATCCTGATTTTGGTATTTGTGCATGTAGCAGCAACCGGGTATGACGACCCATTGTTTGATCTATCTTGTCTGTGTATGTATTTTCCGTGTTCAAGAGTTCATTTTGAGATCGCACTACTCGTATTTGGAGTGATACATGCAGCGTGTTTCCTGAAATTTTCGACCGTAAAACGAGGTCTGTTGGCCGCGCACCACACATGCACAGTGCATCACACACTTCGGTGTTTTGGCCAGCTTCCCGTCTTGACTACTAGCGTTGTGCATACCGGTATGATGCGAGCGGCCTGAATTTTCCATTATTTTTTAAGAATTATCAACGTAAATATGTTGACAATAATTAAGGTAGATTTTATTCACTTTTTGTGGCCATTTTGTGTATAGCTTTCGTAGTGCAATGGAAATAGTTCGGCTAAAACTTCACATATAATTGAATACCTCATTCAATCTGCATAACAAAATTGGCCAAGATTTTTTTTTTTTCGACCGACCGACCTATTTTTGAAAGGCATGTAATCGGAAGCAGAATATTTTCTTTTTTTTCCGGCCTTAGGCATAAGAGCCTTTCATTAGGCATATTTTGAGAATTAACCTAGAGACAACACTCGTCTTTGCAGTTGTTATGGATATTTCTGAATATTTGTACCACATTTGATATTATATTTAATCTCATTGCTGTGATAATACCAGGTACTCCAGTGTTTTAATTACGATCGTTCAATAATTTGGACCTTAAAGACTTGATATTAAGCAATCTTTACAGAACTATCCTTCAGGCGTAAGAGCCTTTAGCCATTCAATATACATAATTAAATAACCGCGAGATAACACTCGTCTAATACATCTGTTATAGCTGTTTCTGAATTTGTACCACATTTGATATTACTGTGTTGACTGCCAGATACGAAAAACCACAAAAAACATATTTAGCAAAAGTGGAAACGTACACCTGTGCTGTGCAAGACAACTCCTTCAGGCAAGGGGAGCAATGTTTGTTTCTTATAATTACTGTTTGAGACGTAGAACAACTCGTAGCAGAGCTGACATACTGACGAATAAGCGAAAACCCTGTTTCGAGTAATGCGCATTTGAAGTTGGACATTTTTTGGGGCGTCGTATTTCACCCTTAATGTTTTGATAATAACCCTTTTGGTGTATAATCGAAATAAAATAGGAACGTAGTATCCATCAGGTTACTTATTTAATCAGAGAAGATGTGCAATATGTTTTTATTTGAAGGTAAACATATTCGTCAGTTTGTCAAATTACAAAATCTCTAATAGCCGGTTGCTCTTCACACTGTTTGTATGCTATTCGTCAGTTTGTCAGATCGCGCGTGCACTGTATACAGCACACACGATCCAACAAACTGACGAATAGCATTTGTTGGTACTGTTGCGTTCCCTAATAGCAGTTCATGAAACATTTATTAGAGTCAACAATAATTCAATAAGTTGGAGGGAAACAGAGCTTTGGGGTGACAGTCACACATGTCAATACACTGATTTATTCATCTCTTCACTTTACATAACTTTGTTAGATTTCATCAACCTATAGGTTTCTCTTTTTGTAGTCTTTGGTAGCGTTATAGAGATAACAGGTTGGCGTCTACAAAGTCTATACATGTACTATGTACTATGGCAAAACCATGTCAACCAATATGAACTGAGTGGGCACCGGCACGGTACGGGTTATCGACGGTCAGACCGAAGCGGGAGCGGTCCGCTACGGTGACCGGGGAGGCAACGGCAACTGGACGGGGCCAGCAAGTGTACCAGGCCACACTACAGTTCGAACCAAAGTGTGCATGTGGCGTATTGGGTATCCAAGGTCAATCGAGGCACTATGCGCCAAGGATAGTGTTTATGACAAGACCGGGCTAGCATAGCTGAACTACGGGGGAATGGCTACGGGGAGCCGGCTGGCCACAGCGGGAGCGGTCCGCTGTGGTGACGGGGATGAACTAGCTCTGGCTGGGCTAGAACACCAGACAACCGCACAACATGTTCAAGCTAAGACTAGCAGTCCAATGGCCATTCGAAACCGCACAGCACCATTGGGACTAGTGTATTACTATTTCACCAGCTTCTACACACTCCGCGAGGGATCTAGGAGAAGGATGCTTCATAATAACACTAGTACTAGTGATTGCACTATTACTTCACCGCGCCTCAACCACCAAGGGAGGCCGATGCTTCGTAGTGACAAGAGTCGCACAACAATCGGTCTGTCAGAGTCGAGTTCGTTGCACATCATACTAGTTACCGCACAACATATAAGTTTGCCGCACAACGTTGGGTTTAGGTTCGTTCGCTCTACATTGGTTTCGTGGTTCGCCGCACTGCCGAAAGTGAGGAAAACCTCCGGTATTTATAGGCAGTAGAAGTCTCGGGATTAAATAATGCATGAGCACTGATTTAGGAATTAACCAATAGTAATCTTCCATGTCTAAGGGTCACATGACTAGTCACATGATTTACTAAGAGTGCCTAGTGCAAGAGACTAGAAACGTGTGCATTTACATAAGGGTAAACATGGAGAGAGAAGTGTGCAAATACAGAGAGAGATGTGTGCAAATAGTTAGACCAGAGTGCAAAAGTGTTAACACAACATCTTGAGCAACCTTGATGGAGTGAGTGACAAGCTAAAAGGTTACTGTGTCACAGGTTATTGACACCGCAGGATGTCTTACCACGCCCAGCTACGCGACCACGCAAGGGTAACATTCCATTCCCTCGAGCTAAGTACGGGACTGGAAAACTGGACCGAGAACTCCAGTTAGTGTTCATGGGTAACACACGGGGAGAGAAACGCTCCGTGCCGCTGAGCAGTCTCTCGGAGAACGCCAAAGCACGCATGCAATGGGGAAAGGAACTTAGCTCGCTGGGGCGAAGGGAGGTGTGGTCAGTCGCGCACATGTACATCGCTACATGAATAATGCATACAGTAGCGCGCGTGGTATTGCATCATGCGCTGTGCTTGGTAAGAGACCCTGGGAATAAAAGTGCAAGTTGGCAATTTACGATAATTAGGTAAAATAAGGGAACAACAAAAGACAACAATAAGATTGTGTACTTCATGGACAGAGTGATCCAGAGGGCGCTAGATTTCCATAATCAAGCATTCTGGGTTCGTAACAGTACTTTGAATGCACACCTTACATTAGCTGGTTACCAGCGAAATTCCGTATTCGTCACTATGTCAAATTACGGATTTGTTATTATGATTGATTCGCTACAGGCGGGGCTCCGAATCTCAAAATCCAGGCAAGAATTAAGAATTTTGGCATACATGTAAATACTTGAGAGAGCAACCTTTAAAAACCACAAAAATAACAAAATCTCAAAAGTGCCAAAATGGTCGATTCGCTGGTATGTCAGCTCTGCGACGAACTTTGACTATACAACAAAACTTGACAATTGCCGGTGTTAAAAATTCTGTGTTGTCGTTGCTGCTCGTAAGCGTTAACTGATCTAGCTTCAATCCAAGCGTGTACACGTGCATGTGCCAAAGGATCTGGATCTTTTTTCATTGTACACTGAAATTATGCGCCATATCAGGTAGTGAAGTTTCTGTACCTGGGCAGCCTGGTAACATGGAATGGATTGGGATAGCAAAGATAGCCTACAGGAGAATGGAAAATGCTCTGGCATGACGGAATGTTATGATGACAACACAACTGCGGCTGCTTAAATGCTACATAGGGTCAGTGCTGCTCTATGGATACAAAGCGTTGACTGTCAGTAGAGTGATGCAAGCATGACTGGAGATTGCTGAAATGTGGTTTTTGAGAAAAACGCTGCAAATTTTGTTGGTGGAGAAAGTCTGAAATGAGACAATTTGGAACGTGCCGAGACAACCCGGAAGCTTATGGAGACACAGCAAGTGTGCTTTTTGGGTTATGTGCAAAGAAAATGTCAAGTGGAACACCTGGCCTTGATGGGAAAAATCGCAGGAAAGTGAGCATGGGGACGACAGCGTTGCACACTTCCGACCTGGATGACATGAGCTACCGGTGTTAATATGCTAGATGTCATTAAGAGATGTGTGAACTGAGAAAAGGGTCTGGTCGTCCCCAACACTAGAATCTGACATGGCATTCAGATGGATTGATTGATTGATATCCACTTCAACAAAAGTCGATTATAAACTCGGGGCTTTCACTTTCCAATAAGGAGGTGTATCAGTCACAATGAAGACAAACTTTGCAGTGGACGGTAAAACATCTTGCCTGTTCATCGATCTTCAGATATAGATTGTCAGTAAATTTCAAAAACTATTTTTAGTAAAAAAGGAAGTAAAAAAAGATTCCATTGCGTGCTGCTTCTCTGTTGCTGCTCATCAGTTATTAGACAAGTGTATTTTCTTTACTATGATTTTTTTGCTTGCTAATTGAATATTACTCTTTTTTCCCCATCCAGGGAAACGCCCCAGCACTGGAACCTATTCCTGTCATATTTCTTGCCGAGTATCTCCAGACAAGCCAGGCCATTTTGAGTATCTCCGACCCTACTCTGTCTTCCGTTCCCCACTGAAGCGATCTAGGAGTGTTCCTATAAGTTTCAGTGAAAGTTACCGTTTGCAGCACCCCGACTTGAGTAAAGGCCAGAAGACCTATTTGTGGCACACTGCAGCAGTATACAGTATGACCAACATGAAGGCATTACAGGAGAGGCGCTATAAGCAGTTATTACAACACCAAGTAGATATTGGTAAGAAAGTTAAACAGTGATTAGGATGTAACTAATGTCAGGATGGATTATTGTTCCTCATAAATGTAAGGAGCCAAAAGATCTTCTTGGCCAATACTCCATCACATCATAGAAGTACAAGTACACATGGCAAGCTACACAGTATCCAAATTGAAATTCCCAAAGTGTTAACCTCAGGTCAACCAGGCATTCAAAAGTTTTATAGCGCACAGACATTTCCAGAACGGCAGAAAGCCAGAAATGTTTCTAGATTTGTTTTTCTTTTTTTCCCACCGCGGATGTGAAACACGCTGCGGGCTTTAGCTGCTAATGTTGGTTGGTGGGTGGGTTGGTTGCAGGGGCGTAAATCCCAGGGGGGGGGGGGTATATATCCCCCACTTTTTGACCGGGGGATGGGATATTAAATCACCCCCCCCCCCCACTTGTTTGTGATGAGAAAAATAAATGCGTATTTTGAGGTATTTTCTGAACGTCCTAACAACTGAAAGGTATTCAATCGGACGAAAAAGTTGAGAAACATCCCCCCCCCCCACTTGCAGGCACAGATTTACGCCACTGGTTGGTTGGTTGGTGAACACTTTACTCGGCCATATATTGTATTCATGCAGCTCGAGTGTTACAGCTTTGCATTCGAAGACCGGTTTTGCAAACACTGATGCACATGCGCCTAATTTGAATATTTTTGCATATTAGATCATTTGTTTTCTGTACTCTCACGGTATTGGTACGGGTGCATGCACGGATGGTGCCGTAAGCCGTCTTCACACATTACCTGGCCGCCGTGGATTGTACCACTTGATACTTGTTTGTTTTTTGTTTTGGAAGGGGGCTATTTACATTTTTAAGAGGTTACAAAATAAAGGCAACATGGTATATTTTGGCCCTTACATGTTAACTACATTTTGTAATATTGACTTTCTATCTGATATTGACTGCATTATCTTTCAATTAGCCAATCATTTATCCAGAATGCTTCATATATAATTGCATTCTTCTTGTAGAGGTTAATTAAATACCAATTTTTTTCATTCCTGTTGTCAACATCGAATAGTTTATGCATCAGTTGCAAACCACAGACAATACATCCTGCAGTTTGTCCTTGAGGGGAGTGGCTTGTGCCTTGTGCCAACAGAAATTATTTATCGTACCACATTACCAATATACATGTGATCAGTCAAAGCTTTACATGTATTTAATTTGTATGGTTACATCTCATCCTTTCAATTACTTTGCAGGTTTTCATACTCAAGAAGAATGTGATCGATACCTTAATTACCTGCTTGGCTCACGTAAACACCAGTACATGGCTGACCCAAGGGTATGGAGGGAACCACCCAAAATACCTGTACGGCCCAAATATTTTCATCATCCCCCACCGTCCAAGAGCCAGTCACCTCGAGACTACCGCTTCTTCCCTAGAGGATATGAAGGGTCTACAAAAGATGTAAGTGATGATGACAAAGACAAGACAGAAGACACTGAGAAGTATGAATATCAAGCCAAGGACAAAGGTCAAGCTGACAATTTGAATCAGGGCAAGGACAGACCAACTGATGAGGAAAGAAGCCATACAGATGAGGCAGGTCAACTTGATGGTACAGAGAAAGCCGTTGATGAGAACAAGAAAGATGACATGCACCGTGAAGGTCAAGATTCACATTCAGTTTCAGATGATGAGCAAAGTCTGTCTGAATCCATGCAAGGGGTGTCTCTGTTCTATGATCCGAAACGGAAGACCACAGTTACACGGGGACAGAAAGCGAATCAGGAGGAGTCAGGAAAAGAGAATGCTAACTTGGAGGGCAGTCAGAAATCCCTAAAGATAAGTCATCAAAATTGTTTCTGGGGATCTCTCTGATGTCACCTGTGGCATATTGACATTTCAGGTGCAAGTGACACTCTTGAGGCATGTGCATAAGTGTATTAAAATAGGAGGATTCAGGAGATTTAGGCTCCATAACATTACAGTTGCATACTCTGGATTTCTTCTGCCATGTGTGTGGTTACTAAAAGTAAAAAAAAAAAAAGTTTGTCATCCATACCCATGCAATGCAAATGTCCAAGATGTTTACTCACCTAACTTTGACCTGGTAACCCCAGAAGTAAAGGTCATGGTACTTCTTTTACCCAACAAGGAATGGTATATCAGATTACAGAGTGTAAACAGAACACAGCGTGAACTTTTTTTCACAGGTTTTAATTGAAAGATGATCTTGAATGAACTAAAATCATATGTAACTTGATACCCGATGTTGTCATCTTGATGTCACAGTAATAACTAATATGAACACCTCACGATCAAAGGTTGAAGAAAATTATTGTATGGAGGGGAAACAAGAGTGAAAAAAAAGAAAAAATTGTACAGAAACAAAGGGTGATCGGAGATCCGCTTGATCAGCCAGGAGTGGCCCTTTATTTTGTATACCTTCTTGGCAAAACAGCTGCCAGTCATTAATATATAAAATGACTACTAATGCTGTACCGTTTTAACTGTTTGATAAGTATAAACAGTTTTTAAACTGAAACTTGAACTTGCCTCATATATACTATTAAGTGAGCCTCGTCTGTTTCACCATGGGATTGATCACCTAGAGTTTAAATGTCTTGCACTGATAAGGAGGAGGATAGATGACGCTAATTACCCATCCACTCATTAATGAATTGGATACTTCAGCCAGTGTCTCTGGTAGGCCCATTGCGTAAGCATCATCAAACCATTTGGTTAAGAGCTGACTGACACTGATTAGCTAATAAGGGCTGACTGTGCAAAGGAATGCAAACAGAGTTTATTACAAAATGTATTACCTTATAATAGAGCCAGATCCAGTACAGGCATTCTCAGCAGCCACAATGCAGACTTTTGTCCCAAGCTAACTTCTAAACACAGCTAGACTAGGTCAGAGTGTTGGCCCAGTCATATCAACACGAAGCATTCTTTCATACTGTTCACTGCTCACAGAGTAGAACATCGTTTACAAGAAATTCTTTGAAATAGGCAGCCGTTTTCCAAGCAGCCCGGCATCTCCAAGAACGGTTCATGCAGCTATACATTCTTTTGCACTGACATGCATGGGCGTCGCCAGGATTTTTTCTAGAGGGGGGCAAATTTTTTTTTTTGCCAAAAAATGCTTGTATTTCTCAACACATTCTCGATTTATCAGTTTTAGAGGGGGCAGGGACATTTTGCCCCTCCCCCCAACTCATTAAATTTACACCACTTTGTCTTCGCGCCTCTTTTTCTTTTCTTTTTTTTCTTTTTTTTTTCTTCCTTTTTGTTTGTTTGTTTTTTTTTGCTTTTCCAGGGGGGGGGGGGGGCAAGTGCCCCCCCTTGCCCCCCCCCTCGCGACGCCCATGCTGACATGCATTTCTACATAATGCTAGGTTCACACATTCCTGAATTAATACTCGATCTATCCCGAATAAAAATTCTTGATGGGATCGGGAGAAATTACCCCCCATTCGTTGTTTGTAAGAAGAACTTAAGAATGAAACAGAAATAATCAAAAGCTAGGTGGGAATTGGAAGCCAAATCATTGCGATTAGTACAGAATAAAACCCAATTGTAGCGATTTTGTCAAGAATAATATATGAATCAGTGCTGTAGTACTCGTACTCGGTACTCGTACTTGAGTACTTTTTTGTCAAAGTACTCGTAATTGAAATGATGTACAGTACTCATACTCGGGCAGCAAAATACTCGTACTCGACATATCGAAATATTCGAATAGCAGTACCTTATTTTATCGATACTTTCAGTTTGAAATGGTTGATTGGCTTGTGGAGAAATCAAAGTTTCCTGATTTTCCTCTGTGCACGTCTGGACAAACACATTTAACAGCCAGCCGTGAGGTCTGTTTATTGGTCTGACTGGCCTGGGCCAATAATACACCATGAACCATTTGCTGTATGGCCGTATTAGGAAAAAGAAGTACCCATACTCATGCTCGGAAGTACAAATACTTGTACTCGTACTCGGAAGTCCAAGTACTCGTACTCGGAGACCTGTACTTGTAATCGGAGGTACAAGTATTCGTACTCGTACTCGGCAACCTAAGTACAGTGTACTCGACAGTACTTGGTACTCGGCAAAAAAGTACTTGAATACAACACTGATATGAATTATTCCAGAATCATCCAGAATGACCCAGAATTATACTAATTTCATTACAAATTGATCAGAACATGCGGGAATCATCCAGAATGAGGCCTAATCCAGGCGATCCCGTTATTTAAACCAATCCCGACAACCTGACTAGACAAGCGATCATCGTCAATCAGTTCCAGTTTGCCAAACAGCGTAGATCTTCACATCATTCAGGGACTATTCTGGATCAATTCATATTAAATTGTGCTTGATTCTTGCTATTTTTAATAAAATCTTCGGAAAAACTGGATAACTCAGCATTATTTGTGATTCATTCTTATTTATTCTTAACAAAATCTTAGTGTTTTGGTAGTTATTCTTATACTATTCGTCTATTCTTGGTACATTCGTAATGATTCGGCATTATTCTGGACTGTTACCACCAAGAATAACTGTAGAAAACTTGTAAGAATCAATGCTGTAAGAATATCTAGAATTAGTTATGAATACAAGAAGAAACCAAGAATTCAAATTCTGACAATTTTGAACATGTCAAAAATTGTTGGGGCGCTTTCCGATCTTTCACTGAACTAACAGAATCATTCCTGAGGCAGCCAAGAACTATTCCCTGATTTACTCAAGAATTGTTATTCGCGGCGGTTCGGCTTAAAAAATGGGGATGTGTGAACCTAGTATTACCATTGAGTCAACCGCTGAAACATCTATGTGGCAGCTGACATCTCAAATCAATATAATTATTACAATAGTGCCTTTTATGAATACTTATAATTCACTTTCTCTGCACAGCCATATTCTACTTTTGTATATTATTCTGCAATGCTGAAATACACTGGTATGTGTTGCCTCAGGAAGCATACATGTAACTGAAAGCGTCTTCATAAAACATTTCAAAATGTTTTACATTTTTTGGGCACTGTTTATATGCAGTCTAACTTTGTTATATTGTGGTCTTTTGGAAGATCCTGCAGCATTTGCGGATGGTTCATTGCACAAATGCACCCGTGCACATAATTCATTAAATGAAGCTTTCACTTCAGGAAATAAAAACAATTCAAGGAGACTAGGTTTTGATTTGTGTTGAACAATAAAGATTGACAACAATATTTGTTGATCTCAGCCAGAAAAAAAAAAGGAGTGTTAAAATCTAGACTAGAATTCTGTTTTATGCCATTTAAATAAGCTGTTAATATTTGTATATTTTTGTAAACATTTGGTGGATGAGAATATTTGTTACCTAACTATTTTTTGGCAAACTAAAATGTGACCCGCTCTGCAAAAATGAGTCTGATGTCGCATAGCTTGAATTCCAGCTTTCACCACTTTTAAATGGAAACAGTGAAAATTTTTCTCAAAATTTTGATTTTTTGTTTTTGTTTTATTTTGGTTGTTTGATAGTTTTAGTTCAGATATCTTACACAGAAATTTAAATATTGTAAGAAAAAGACTAACAAATTCATGATTTTTGGTGCTTTTCTTGGTTAGTTACAGTGTATTTGTAATTTTTAAACCCTTTTTTCTTCATTGAGACATTTCTTGCTTTGCAAAAACTTGACAGAATTAAAAAAGGCACAAGAGTGCAACCAAACGCCCTAGAGAGGCCCATGATATACCAAATGAAAGCTTATTTCATTCCCATTTTATTAATGTAGTTAACTCAAAATGTCAGTTTTGCCACAACAGACTCATTTTTGTGGAGCGGGTCACAAATAAGAAACATACATGTACAACATATTTTTGTAATTGTATTTTTACTAACAAATGATGGATTTTAGACAAATTAAAGTTTGCATTAGAACTTGCAAAGAGCTGTTTGGAGGGACACCTTGTATTCTTAGATTATTCAATTAAATTTACAAGATTTAATTTTCCAACTGATTTTTTTTTAATTCTTCACAAGCTGTTTTGATGTAATGGCATGATTAGCTTATTTTTTCATTTTGTTTGTTAAAAGAATTCTTGAATTTGAAATAGTTGTTTTGTTTTGTAATTTGGTGTTTTTATTGAAGCTTAAAATTGGGATTCAGTCACCATGGTCATAATAGTGAAGTTTCTGTTGCGTGTAAAAAAATAAATAAAATAGTCTTACAATCTGGAGGGTTTATATTAAATATACTTTAAATAATTATTTAAAATGCCTGATTTGTTGTGCATTTTCTGAAAAAAATTTACTCCCAACAACATAGTGAACCAGTCCAAAAAACCCCAAGATTTTAGACACGTCGTTATTCAAGGCCTCCAAAAGTGATGTCAAATATTTGGAACATAACTACATGTCTATATAGCCTTGTCTTCATTAGTTCACACAGATACATAACTAACTCTGTACTGGGCCAAACCCTTCACAGTACACATAAGTTAGTCCCAGGGGTTTGAAATCTCAGCTTTAAAGATGATTTTAGTGCTTCAAAGCTCACTTTTTTTTTTTTTTTTACCTTTTTCAGGTGTTTTCAGCTATTTGTATCAGTGGTCACTCACACCCCGGTAGTCTCAGGGGAGAAAATCCAGGGGGAATGGGGGTATATATCACCACACACTTTTGATTAACCTGCCACATTTTCCAAAAATCTTGAACACCAATTGACCAGGACAGTGCTGCAAATTCGAAAAAAAGGGGGGGTAGTCCGATATCACCGTTGTCCACGGAGCCCTATCTCCAGTCCAACGTAGATATATCTAAGAATGCAAATTTATGCGACCCAACGCGCCAGCCAAACAGAGTTGACTTTACTAAATTGCGACGTGATATTCCCAAATCTGGCCTAAGATTGTGATTTGTCGATTCATATGCAGTGTTTTTGAATAACACAGCCGGGCGCGAATAGATCTACAAAACCTAGACACATCCGTGACTGGCCAGCTCTATTATTGCTTGGCATATCACATAACATATCGTTACAGAGTGCATGACCGCAGACTGTTTTGCTCAATTCACAGCGTAAAAAAAAAAGAATAGATGCCGTGTCTAGGTTTTATTTATAGATATACATGACAAGACCGGATATAGAAAGTGCCCGCTGAATGGTCAAAATGTTGAGGTCAAGATGCAGTCTTTTTTGTATAATTAATCACCTCAAATAAAATAGGACCTTGCAAAATGGACTGGGGGGGGAGCTACTGGAATGCACACCGTGTTACAATGTACGTTTTATACAGCAACAATGAAATACATGTTCACTGGCAGTAAGTCAAAGTGGCAAACTGACTGATGTAATGATACTGCAATTCTTGAGTACAGTGTAGTTTATTTGGACATAACTGACAAAATGCTCAAATCAAAATACTCATTAACTGACAATAATATAAATATGTTTGAGTTCAATAGAAAGCATTTGTAAGAAACCCTTAATATACTCCACAAGACAGTTTTTGGAGGTCTCTCTATCTACCAGACTTGTATGACTCGTGACTCGGACTTTCTGACTTGAGTCCTATTTTCCGTGACTCGGGCTCGAGAAATGGTGACAAATTAATCGGACTCAGACTCGACCCCTGCGTGACTCCGGACTCGGACCAAAACTGCCTCATATCACTTATTTTTTCAACAATATAGTCGCAAATTATTTTATAGACGATCCTGTCCTGAGCAAGCGATAGTCACTCAATTCGGTGCACAAGAAACGCAAGTACTGTAAATACACAGCGTGTGCAGCTGGCTTGTTTCCGATGTATTGATTTGGGAAATAAATGTATCGAAACATGTACCCAGCGTCCACACTTGATGTTGCATAAATGCAAACTTAATAGTATTCCATATCCTTTCCAGACACTG